GAAAGTATGAATTAGATGATATGTATAATATGGATGAAACCGGATTTGGAGTTGGAAGTACTCAAAGTACGCGCATTATAGTCGATTCTACTCAGAAATCGAATTGGAAAGTTACAGCTGGCAAGCAAGAATGGATAACTGCATTTGAATGTGTCAATGCAGCTGGAAATGCTCTATCACCTATGGTCATTTTCAAGGCTCAGAATACGAATTCTGCATGGATTCCAAAGGACACACCTCAAAGCTGGCAGTTCTCTACTAGTACAAATGGATGGACCTCAAATAGCCATGGATTAGAATGGTTTAAAAAGGGTTTTCGAACCAGAATCCAAGAAAGTGTCAGGTGACCGACCTCGACTTTTGATCATGGATGGCCATTCAAGCCATATTACAGGTAGCTTTATTGCTTTCTGTATAGATAATGATATTGATTTACTTATATTACCTCCTCATTGCTCTCACTTGCTTCAGCCACTTGATATTGCGGTGTATGGGCCAATGAAACGATATCATGCTTTAGAGGTCGATCGATATTCTCGAGCTGGTGTAAAGCGAATCCAAAGAGCTGAATGGGTAGAACTCTTTCAAAATATTAGAAAAAAAGCATTGAATTCTTCTAATATTAAAGCTGGCTGGAGAGGAGCTGGTTTAGTACCTTTTGCCCCACGAAAAGTACTCGATTCATTACCATTTAACTCCTCCCAGCAACCTTCTACTCCACAAATGAGAACCCCCAATCAAGACCTAGACTTGTCTATACTCAGGAGTTCTCCTCCAGATGGAACAGAACTAAGGCAAGCAAATCAGATCTTTAATACAGCTCTAGCAAGCAGTGGTTCTCCTGCATCGCCAACTCGTCGATATGCCAAGAGAATGACTAGGCTTGTAGAATCTCAAAATGCTGAGATAGCCCTACTTCGGAAACAGCTCTCTGATGCTCAGGAGGTAATTGAGACTCGAAAGAAAAGAACTAAAGGCAAAAGAGTCAAATTACAAGGTCAATTTGTCTTTAGTACTAAGGAAGTATTGAAAATGGTACGTGAGGCGGAGGAAAAACCGAAGGAGAAAAAGCCACGAGGACGGCCACGCAAACGCCCAATTGAAGAATCAGAAGAAGAGATTGAAGAAGAAGAGCTAGAGAATAGTTCAAGTGATTCGGAATTGGAATTGGAGGATTGTGTGGCTCGTAGAACAAGATCGCGTGTAGAATAATTGAAAAAGTGTCCGAGTTCCCCATATGTCCGAGTTCCCCATACGTTACGTATAATATTGCTTTTTTTAAAATATATTTAAAAACCCTTTAATTTGTAACTTTTATATCTATTTAGTATTAACATTTAATATTTACTCTTTTTGTGATTTTTAATATACTTATCGGAATATTTCAATTATTTTTAAATCTATCTTATTATTTGTTTATTTATTAAATATAAATTTAATAATTCAATTCATAAGAAAACGGTTTCGATATATCAATTAAAAAGATAAATCTGTTCTTAAATTATTAGAAATAAGAATATAATTTCATCCTTCTTATTACTATATATAATTACTATAATTCATTCTTTATTATCTAATTATATTATCTTACTTCTATTATTTTGAGACATATTATACTTATTATAAAGTCTATTTTATTGAAGTTATAGAAATTATAATCGAGAATATTATATTTCGCTTATATATTCAAAACTAATTAAAACTATTTCTTAATAAGTTTAGAATCTTTATGAAAAGTTCTTTGAAAATTATAAATATAATTAAAATATATTTTTAATTTAATTCAATACTTTACAAATTAATACACTTAAAACTTTTTAATAAACTTTATACTCTTCAATTTAAGAATATGATTTATTATATCTTCTATATTTCCTAATTCAAATAAAAATCCTTTTATATTCATATTAATTATATATTCAGAAATAATATTTTCTTCTAATTCTAAAAGATTATAAAATTTAAATTAATATTTGAAACAAAAAGTAATATTATTAATTCTACATTATAATATTATATTTAAGATATTATATATTTTTATAATCATTTAAATACTTGTTTTTTATTTTTTTTGAATAATTTCGATGGAAAGAAGTATATAGGCTTCTTAATTATTCGACTTCATTATAAATTATTAATAAAAATGTATATTAAAAAAGAAAGGAATAAATTGAGTTGAAAGTAATCTATACATTAATATAACCTATATACTAATAAATCACGTTTATAATATAGGCATTTGAAGAAAGCTAGTAGGTTTAAAAGACTAATATAATAAGCTTGTATAAGGCTTGAAAGACTCATTAAGCGAAGATAAGCTTCCGGTTGATTACTACGTAAATACCTATCTAGTTAAGCAACCGAGGAAGCCAACTCAACTTGCGATCAATTATCAGGCCCCGAAAGCTCTTCTCTTCCCCAATCACTTTGGAATTATGCCATGCAAGCTTTTTTGCTTTCAAGTACGGAGACACAGGTCTAGGGTATCGGGATTACCTGGGTTCCTGGCGTCTATATAGGCACCAAGCCGCCGTGAAGACCCCATTCCAGGTAGGCTAAAGTACACATTTGTCGACATCTTAATATCATAATCACATGTTATCAAGGCAGACAAATGAAGTTTGACATTCGAACAATCTCTGAATAGTTGCAATGCTCAAAGCTCTGTAGGCTTGTGATAGGCCTAACACCGAGACCGGCTTCAACGACCTTGATGCCTAGATGCTTGGAGAATAATTGGAAATATATAAGAGATAAGAAATCATCTAACCTTACTAAACTTCCTCAAATCAATCTACCTCAACACCACACACCAGACAAACTTCCTTTATTTATCACTCTAACTTAAATCTCCGCATTCACATTCGCTCATTGACAAGCACCAGAATCATACTCTTTCAACATGGGAGCAACTGTTATCGTATGTATGCCACCGACCATCGGAGACCATATCTTGCTAGAATCCGAGTATCAGAAGGTCCTGGATCAACCCGTGGCGCAACGTACAGAATCATTAAAAGAACTGAATGAGATGTCGAAAGAATATAACAACGTCGATCATCGGCGTCCGGGCGATAGCGAAAAAGATAAGAAATTGATGGACCGCCTAGAAAGATGGAGTAAGGTCCATGGGACAAGATCAAAAAGTGCCTCAAAAAAACTGACTGATGAATTTATAAGAACCCATCCCGGGCTTGTTAAGGACCCAATTCTAAAAAATCGAATGAAGAGTCAGGAAAAGAAGAAGGAACTAGAGGCGGAGAACAAGAAACCCCCAGTTAAAACAACTCTTAAGGAACGTTCCACGAGCACTACAGGTAGATCTGGTAAAAGATAGATGATTTTTTGATTGGCGTCTGCGTTTATTACATTTGCTTTCTCAAGGATGAGATGAGGAATTTGATAATTAGCTTTGGTATTTTGCGTGTCCGTTAGCCCTTGAAAATTGATTTACATATTTTGCTTTTATTACCAAGAAAACCATTCTGCAGTGTTTGAATCTGTTAGGAACTAGGTACCATCGCATTAGATCGCGACCTAGCCTTAGTGCAAAGATATAATGTTTCGAGTCTTTTTCCCTCAACACTAGTTTAACTGGTTGTTAACGACTGCAAGGAAATTAACAGCGAAAAGTCCCGGTCGAATTGAAGATGGTTCGACGAAGTCGAATAGTTGACTATCAAAATGTGTTGATGGATTCTAAGTATGAAGCACTTCAAGTAGAGGGCTGCTAAATAGAGAGATTGAATCCAGTAATAAGATGATGATATTAGAGTCCTCATTGATGCCAATACATCATCCTCTAATCTGATTTTCACGGTTATCCTCACGTTTATTCTCAGCTCTCTAGTAGTCATTCACTCCGTACGTTATCATGCGATCCAGTTTGAATCATGAAAATAATTTCCGCATCATCATACAATTTACTCAGTTAGTCTCAACAAGCATAGCTCAATAATGAACAATCTCTCTTTTTGATAGACGCCTTACCAACACCTCGACTAATCTCGTCTCTGACTATCGATAACAGCCCTAGCGTAGTATATACAGGCCTCCTCGCGGTCATAATTATCACACCCTAAGCCCCCTCTCAATAATTAACCTCTCTTCCCCTAAGATTGCGCGAACTTTATGCTCCTATGAAAATGCGGATCACTACCAGATGTATATCATTATTTTCTCGCCCTTGCTACTGCCAATCCGCTTCTCAAGTCTAGTTTGTTGTTATATGTTAAACTTTCGTATGTCAAACTCGATATCAATCAACCGAGTAGGTCTTTTTCCCTTATTCTCCATTCCATTTTCCAGGCCTTGACGGAGGATGTAATGAATTAGTTTGATACGAAAAGTTAAGCATGAGAAGTAAATTCAGAGGCTCAGAAATATCTCCGTACACAAGTCCGCCGGATAATTTTCCCAGGAAAGCAAGAAGTGACAGGAAACAACCAATAATCTTAAAAATAAGTGGCAACAGAAAAGTTGGAAGAGTCGACCACTTTACCTACCTCCCTTAGAAATCTTTATCGAGTTTAAATTTCTAGAATTCACCCACTATGTTCTAGAAATTCTTGCACATTAAACTTTGAACGCGTACAATTTAGTGATTTATCAAAGACAACGGTTTTTTGAATATTTTGCTAAAACTCCAAGCCTAAATATTCTAAAAGATATAACACAATTTGTCCCTCACTGTGATCCATACAACCTATTAAATAATAAGGAAACGTTATTGAGTGATATCAACGGTTCAACCACCGGCACATAAAAATGGAAAGTCTAGAAGCCCCCGTTTTGTCTGTTCATAATCAGTATTTCAGTAAACCATTATAAATCACCATGAAATGTTAAAGCCACCTTTTGCAATACGGTGCTATGGCTCTCAAACTGTAACCGCCGTCCCTATTCTTGGATCTCGTACAATCTATTGAAAAAGTAGAGAGTTTGAAAGACATTGATATCAGGGCTCACCCCCACATGTATGGTAGTGTGGGTAAGTTAACCTAGCGACCACTTCCTTGGTCATAATAACACTGATCATCTTGACTTCCGTGTCCACTTTGGCCATTTTGATAACCGCGGGAATGGACGCCCGTATACCGACCAGATGGCTGACTTACATATGATTGAGTAGCTGATATTTGACCCGTAGAAGATTGTATAGCCCACGATTGATTATTTGAAGAACTACCCTGATTTCCTTGATACTGAGTAGGTTGACCAGGATAAGCTGGTTGTTGTTCACTTGCATAATCCTGTGAATATCCAACCGGGAAAGCACCAGCCTGTTGAGTACCGCATGGTTGATGAGCCAATGCTTGACTAACTGAAGGGTTGTCCTGGTAATCACTAGATGATTGACCAACTTCTTGTTGAACGGCTGGGCGATGGCCTGGCTCTTGTGCTCGAACACCATCATAAGTCTCCGAGGACGATGAACTTTGGTGTTCTGGAACAAAACTTGGCCTTTTCAAGAACCTCTCTGCTGGGAGCGGCGGGCTAGACGTAATGCCATTCTTATAATCGTTATGCTGCCTTATCGCTAATGCTGCTTCTTTTATCCCTCGTAATTCCAGGCCTCCCCACAACCAGCACATATCAGGCGTAGTTGAAGCCGAAATTCTGGCTGCCATGATAAGGGAAGTCGGAACTGGTGTAGGGTAGCTTAATACGATGTCCAAGAATTCTTTGCCGATCCAGTTTCGAGATGGTATTCTTGGTAAGTCTGAAGACATATTAAACTGCTCAAGTGCTCCTTGTTCATATGATGACTGGATCCTGGAAGACAACAATTTAACTGTCAGTGGTTTATATTGATGATTATTAATCGCGATCAGCTCATTCATTAAATATGTTAAAGCCTGCCATCCTCCGAACACCATTCGGCCGTATTCTTTATCACAGGTCAGGATATCCTGGCGGCGCAAACCATGAACAAAGAAGACCGCTACGTCTTGAATTTCCGAATCCCAGGCCCGATATTTTGGGGGTGCGATATCGAGAACTGGGACGAGGGCGGAGGAGGAAGCGGGTGGAGGGAGATTATGGCGATGAGTGCAGCTACTGCCATTGCCACGGCCACGTGTTGAACTTGATGTGTGGCCACTATGACGAGAGGAGCATGATGTACGCATTATTGACGAGTATTGAAAATCCCGACCTTCAAATGACTGAAACGTCGAAACACGGAAAAGCTCAAAGTCAACGCCAAGACGGCAACGAAGAATGAAGTTTTGATTTGACAGCAATTTCTTCTATTCTCTTTAACCGTATTAGTTAAGAACAATGAGAGGTCTTCGACGTCGCAATCAGAAACAACATGTGGATGGTCTTAAAAATGAATAATTGTATGGCTTGTTGGGAGTGGTGTTTATGTTTTGTATCGAGTGTAAGATAGTAGAGTATGCGACAAAAGAGTCTAAGGAAACGATGGCGTAGTTGTTAAAAGTGCGATTTCGAGGTGCGAAGAAGAAGTTCTTGTATGGTGTTATTGAAATGGAGAGCAAAAATTGCGTGAGAGTACGACTATGTGATGGCGATGTGTATGATCTTAAACCGCACGATCTTCAATTGCATCTCCTATTCGAAAAAATTATCTGGTATCACGATATCCTCTTCAAAGTAGAGCATGCATAAGGAAGAAAAAAGGTTACTCAAAGGAGTACATCCCAACCCATTTAAGTGCATTTCGAGGTACCAAATCGATCATTTTTCTTCTGTCAAGTTCATGCTTTCTCATGATTGATACAGTTATTTGATATGAATATGCCTCAGAAGTAGGGGTTGTGACTCGAAATACATAATGCTCCATGATTCATCAGGGAACAAAGCATGAATGTATCTCCAACCGGTCAAATTATGACTGATTATCGAAATGAATTACATGATATTTCATGACCATAAAGAAAAAAGTACGAATATATCTCACCACGACCAGTTGATGACCGGTTACCAAAGTGAACTACACAATATCTCCTGATTCATAAAGGAATGAAGTATGAATATACCTTCAATCTCCAACTCCACAGCTACTGTCAAACAGAGTATTCCCATTCGACTCCAGATGCAAAGTGCTAAAGAAAAGAAGTCTAAACATACCTCAGAACCGTGATCCATAATCAATATCAAGCAGCGGAATAAGAAACAACCCTAGATTCATGATACCTTATAATTCCTCGTTAACCACACAGACAGATATACAGATATACATATACACACCATGACCCCCTTACTCAACCCAACCCAAAGCGTTATAATTCCAAGTTTCAATTCTATAAACCTTTATTCATAACCACTACAGAACTCCATACAAAACCGCAGTATATTATATCCAAAACCAAACCAAATCAAAACACAACTTCCCGCCTATCAACTATCAACTATCAACAAGCAGGATAATCATTAAATACTCTCACCCCCCCCTCATTTTACAATCCCTATCAAAATTCAGAAATACAAAAATACAAAGATCCGATCCTGATATTTGCATTTGCATTTGCAGTATTCTGAATCTCGATTACTCAATCCAATCCAATTGCAGGAAAGAAACAGTGACATCAGCAATTTCATCAATCACATTAATCCGATTCCACATACCATCCATATACACAACTAAACTGATGCTCCACCAATCCTACCACATCAGTATCATACATGTATTTGTCTTCTTCCATACCTCCTCACCCTCTGACGGTGTTCCGAACTTCAGAGGGTTGAAGATGGAAAATATCAATGTAGTGCGTCGTGATATGATTTTCTTCCAAGAAAATACCACCGGGACGCGTTCAACCTCGAACGATGCCGCAGGTCAGAATCGCACAGCCACCAAGACTATCAGAACATTCTCTGTAAACAACAGTCGAAAGCCATCTCAGAATATACGGAGCTTTGTGCTATGGGTTTTGAGGATAAACTAAGTTTTTGTGTAAACAAATGCTTTGCTCATCTGTCCGCCGTAGACGTGATCATACCCATGCGCAGCATCCAGAGCAAAACTAGCCCAATTTCCACCATATCCTCACATTTCCATATCGAGAAGTGATCGCTATAACAGTACAAACTCAACCTATCCCATGATATCAAATTCCAGACTTCTATCTATCTCTACAGCCGTGCTACCATTGATAACAGATGTCACTTGACATGAGTATTCCAGAATGAATGAGTTGAAATACACACATCCATGTGAATACGTCTCAAAACCACACGTTCATAACCTCGATGTTACAAAAGAAACATGAACACAGAAAGGAGTCTCCGGCAAAACACATATTGGAAGAAAAAAAAAACTCAATCCATAAAATTCTATTCTGTACCTAAATCCTTTTGTATTTTTCGCTATTCGATGTTATCACCCACTATCATCTCATCGACCAACCCCCTATTCCCTACCCATCATTTATGTCCCTCATTTCAGTTTATATGTATACTCCGTACTGAGGGATAATGATTTCATGTACCGCTCTCCTCATCATCATCTTAGCTATCGATCACTATCCCAGCTAGCGCACACTCTCCAATTTTCCCCCGTTCAGCCCTTCAGATTCATCCATAACCTAGTCTCATTCCCACTCTTCCAAAAAGAACGCCCGGAAAAGACAAACAAGTGAACAGACCCAAATCAATTTAAAAACAACCCTGAACTACCATGGTATTTTTTGTACTTCTTAAAAAATTCGATCTTTGTTGTACTCCTACAATTTCTCCTTATCCCGTATCCTTACTGAATGGAAACGATCTCTGCTTATCTCCACACCGCAATCCTCTGACTCCAACAAGAACACAAAAGAAAGGAATGACAAAAAAAAAAGTATGTGCAAAGAAGTGAACAGCACAATCGTCTGAAATACCGAACGACAAATGTTCAAGTTATGTATGTACTACCGCTCAAACAATAATCAAATCCCCTAATAACGACTATTGACACTAACTGAAGTCATATCCGCTCTCTTCATAGGAGGAGGAGGAGGAGCCGGTTTCTTTGCTCTACTTGGAGGAGGCGGTGGAGCTCTTCTCGAGTTTGGCGTAGAATTACTACCATGACTAGTAGCTGGGCTAACTGATCTTGCGCCATATGATCTGTCCGGACTGTTACTATTAAGAGTTGAATCATCACTCGGATCATTAAATAAATCAGCTGAAATGATATTAGTCCTGGCAGTCGGTCTTAAAGATGCGCGTAAAGAACCAGCATCTGAAGGAGGAGGAAGAGTATTGAGTCGAGTCGAGGAAGGAGATTCGCGGTAATGAGTTGTTGGGCCTTGGAACGTGGATGATCGACCAATTGATGGACGTTGTGGGGAGCTTGGAGGGGAATATTCCTCTCTTCGATCCTCTCTTCTACCAATTCCTGATGTTGAGGCAACTCGAGTTGTGTTGACACGAGGAGTATTGGATCGGATAGATGGACGTGGAGCTTCTAATTCTGGGATAGGTTCTTCATATGTGGAGTATCTCTCACTGTATGAATGAGCTGTATTTGAACGAGGTCGTGCTTCTTGGCGTCTAGGTTGACGTGGTGGTTGTGCCGCTGATCCTCGTCTAATATAATGTCAGTCCCAGAAAATTCGCGTACATCATTAATAACTTACGCAGCTGGCCATTCCTTCTTCAGTTTCAAAAGTTCATCACGACAACGGTCATAATATTCAAGCTCGGCTTCCAGAAATGCCCCCAAGTCTTGAACACTGTCTGCCTCTGCCTCTCTAATATCCTGCATTCTTCTGTAAACATCCTCACTGGATTCTTCATATTTCGCTTTTTGTGATCTGAGTTCTTCCTCGACTCTAAAATCTTCTCTCTTTGCCTTTTGCATCTTGGAAAGGGAGGCATCGTAAGCCAATCGTCTTTGTTCGAGCTTCTTCCTGGCAGACTTTGAAAAATTAGAAACTGGGTATCTAGACCATGGCACATTGTACAAACCTGATATTCCTTCATCTGAGCCAAAGATCTCTCCAACGATTCCAGCCAGCTCGAAGTTGCCTCCACAACATATGTATCCTGCTGCCTCGAGATTCTCTCATTTGTTCTACCCATAGCTATATCCTTATTAGCCACTTTCTCAAATACTCTCTGGGGGTTTACCTACCAATAAGGCAATTTCCAAACTCGGAATCCGGTTCAAAATCCTCTCCATGATGTATCATTGTCTGTCCCATGAATGCTACTGGCAGGATCTTTTCTCTATCATCTCCTTCGTTCCGCTTCGAAAGTGATTTGACATAAATCGTCATGGACTTTTGTAACTTTTCCATTCCTGGCAGATATTAGAATAATTCATGAATCGATATTTGGCAGACCGTACCCTCATGTCTCATTTGCATCTCCCCCTCCAAAGACTTGAATTCATCCGAAACTTCAGTCTTGGACTCTTGTCCCATCTTCTCTCCAGCCCATTGCTTGACTCTGCCAAATTTCTTGCCGACGTTCATGTTAGCGGTTGATGTTGGAAAATAGTAAATTGCTTTCTTGGAATGGTTTGTGTGTGTTGCAGTATCGGATTGTTCGGGATCGTAGAGAAGGAAGGTACTTGAGTATCTTAATTGTTGGATTTCGTACGACAAAGAAAGTAATTGTTATGTTTATCCGAGGATCAACGAGAAGGTTCTCGATGTTCTTTGGGCGAGCGTAAGACAATCAAAGTATTGGCAGATTTTCCCAAAGGTGTACGGAAGAGAGACAGCAAAACTGGAAGGCGAATTGAAGACTGGATTGCATAAAGTCTGATAGCCACAAGTAAAGTTAATTCCTCCAAACTCTCAATGATTCGCAAAATGGTAAATCCCAGGTAGGAGCACGAAGCGTGAATGGTTGAATTCGTGATGGGGAAGTAGATATCTGAGAGTCAATCCCCTAGATCCTTGTATCTTCGACGTGTTGTTATCAAGGTCGGGGAATAGCTTGGATGAAGAGGTTGGGAAGAGTGGGGAGATGTAGTAGTATATTGTATTGCAGTAGCTATATGTATTGCATATGCACCACCAAGGGACGGGATGCTTTTGATGGAATCTTTTCCAGTAAGGTGGTTGAACGAATGTGTACGAAGAAGCTTTGTGAATGGCTCACGGTGAAGTTTCCTCGAATTGATATGGAAAAGAGTGTGGTTGGTGACTGGTTGTCGGGTATTTTCCCCCCT